CTCTCTCTCTCTCTCTCTCTCTCTCTCTCTCTCTCTCTCTCTCTCTCTCTCTCTCTGTGTGTGTGTGTGTGTGTGTCTGTTGATAAATTAATTCCCTGAATCAGAGAATCTAAATGCCCATAGATACATTCCTTTTTAAACTATGCACATTCTATCTCAGGAGCTTTTCCACCATGAGGAGTTCCCTGTACACCCCACTAGATACATGACTAGAAAGCCAGTTAGTACCTAATGTATTTATATCAGTGTGTGGTTAGTCCACAGTTGAATGACCAGTTGTTTCAGCTAGCCCACGAGATTGAACACATGGGTTTGCTTTTATCGCTTGCCCAGAAGATTTCAAATATTAGTACATTCAATTTGACCTATTCCACTTGAACACCTTGATGTGTTTTATATGGAATACATTGGCTGATTTGTAGTGGGGTCACTGTAGTTGTCAGGCAATCTGTATCTGTATCAAGGTTCAACCTAGAATGGTTTTATCTAAGTGCTCCAGATGCTCAACATATTCATGTTTGGCAAGAGTAAGTGTAAAATATTCTGCTAATTGGGACATATTTGTCATCTGATAAAAGAATATGATATCTAAAATTAGCCAAATTTTGTTTGGAAGAAATATTGTAGTAAGACTTAATTTCTGTGTAGATGACTGAATGCTGATTATGTCAGGTTAACTTTAAACTGTAAGTTCATGAACTGCCAGCTCACAATATGAAATAGGGGTCTGATCAGTGATGTTATATAAGTAATACCAAACCTAAACTTAATTCATCATAGGCAAAAAAAGGTCCAGAAAATCAATTCCAGGACCTTACAAATACAGGCCCATGGTGCCACCCCCCACCCTCCTCTCGAGGGCAATGCTCTTTCTATTCTTCTGAACATGCTGTTCTTCAAGTCAAATATCTTATACTCACTGGGCAGGTTTGCATATTCAAATTTTACTTATCTTTGCCTTTGACACTTTTTTTCTGGAGAGGGGGGCTTACTGCAAATTTTACCAAGACATCTGCTACACCCTCATATCAAGTAAAATAATATCTGAGCTATGTAATACTTATCTGGAAAAAAAGCACCCACGAACCTCATTAGTATATGATTTTGACCAGCAGATGAGAGAGCAAAACCCAAGAGACTGCAAGATGTATAACATGGCTGATATCTGAAGCTCCACGCAATTCATTTCTGCATGAAATACACACCCTGGCTTCACCCAGCCATTTTTTATTAGTCATCAAGGTGCTTTCCAGCATACATAGGTAAATAATTGAAATATGTATTAGGGTAATTTGCTTTTTTTTTTACGAAGGAGAATCTTTCAAGCTGAACATGCTTAGTAAATCTATCATTTATTATGTGAAAAATGAGATTTTAAGCTGAGGCACAATATGCCAGTAATTTGGAAGGTTGTAATAATCAGTTTGTCATATGTTGTCTGCCAAGGGTAGTATGATGTGAAAGAAACCCAGCAATAATGGTTAGAAACATTTTTCCTTCCTTTAAAAATGGTCTTGTTATCAAACTAAAGAAAATATACAGCTAGATAATTATATACAGTCCACAGATGATTTATTTATGGTGAAGTCGAGCGTGAAGTCTCTTGATTTTGGTGATTTTGGATTATAAAATGTAGCCCTATGCCTTAAGTGTTTTGAGTGCCCCTTCTACCAGAGTTGCACAGAAACAACAGCCCACACAGTATTAAAAAAAGCCGTGTTTTAATTGAAAAATCAATCACAGCCCGTGCTGGTTCTGCACCGCAGTTATCAGTTATGCAAATTTAATGAGAGTTGCCAGTACGGCAGTACCTTTAATAGAATTACACCCCCAGGAGGCGGCCAAGTTTAAAATAGAAGATCTCTCTATCAAATATTCACCAGCTTATCCAGGAGGTCCTTTTTTTTTTTTTTTTCTGTTTAAGTGTGAGAAGGGAATTTG